GGGTCTTAATCTTGAAATAAAGAGTTTGTTCACAGAATAATAAAACTGCAAACTACTTTCATTCCTGTTCTTATTTAAACATGACATAACAATAAAAAGTCTGGGGTCTTCTTTCTTAAATTTTCAAATTCTAACTGCCTCTCTGTTTGTTCCCAATTGGTCTGCAAGAGACACTTCTATTTGAAAAGAGAAGAATTTTCTTCCAGTTTTTTTCTGCTTTCATATACTTTTCAACCCTGGTGTAGTTTCAGCTGATCTATAATGCTCTTTCTGGGATTTGGTCTTCCTGATCCATTTATTTTCTTTATATCTTCAGGAAACACAGGGATTCTATATTGATGTAGATTCCATCTATGATCCTCTCCCTCACAGTCTTAGTCATATAGATTCTGAATCATTTCAATTGGCAATTTAAAATTAACACATGAAACACACACTGGTATTTTTACTTGATTTTTTAAAAGAAAACACATTATTTGAAGTATTTTGTTATCCCAACAAACAAGTCTACTTAATTAACAAATCTATCTGCTTGTTATTTGAAACACAAATATAATTAACATGGCCTTTGAACTATCAATGTAAGATTGTTACGCCCAGCATTTGCACATAGAGTTAAACAACTCCAGGTGCCATGAGAACTTGTTTGAGGCAGCTGTCCCAGCCACCTGTCCTCACTTAATGGGTAATCATCCCATTACATTTGGGATATTAAAACCCTGATACGTCTATGGTCCAGTGTTCTGTCATTGAGCCTCCTTCCATACCAGGGATGTGCTCTCATGACAATCATGATTCTGAACCGTGCTGCCACCTGGCTCTGTTTCTGTTTCCGGTCACTACTCCGGCTCAGCATTGAATCAAACCAGTGGCATTGTGCAATATCCTGGTCCTCCAGCGTTGCTTGGCCATGCAGATCCCCTTTCATGCTCTGCGCCAAGCCTTCACACACTGATCAGCCCAGCTGGACAGTGCATTCCCTGTTTGGCTATCTCTGTCGGCTTTAACAGCGCATCCCGTGTTAGGCACTTTTTGTCAGCCTGCATAGCACATGCCCTGTTTGGATATCTCTGTCAGCCAACACAACTACTTTCCCAGCTTTTTGGGACAGACATTCCTTTGCCTCCAGCAGACACAACCTTGTTCAATCTTATAGCTGTGTCATAACAAAGACATCTTGCTTTATCTTTGTCATCAGAATATGTGAATGCATAAATCTAAGTGTACACCCATTCCATTTTTCCAGGGCTCAGAGAATTTGATGAGTAACCACTGCTTTTCTCCATTAAGCAAATCTCTACATGTTGCCACTGTTTTTCTTAAAATTCTCTATTAAAATGTTTCAAGTCAAGAATCACTATATAAAATTAATAAAATATTTGGATTAAATAAAATATTTTATTAAATACAATAATACAATATAAAAAAAGATTTTCCAATGTTAATTGCACAATAAGTCTGATACTGTTTCAATTAGTTTCAATTGTACTTTTTCAATGAAAAAAAAATTCTTAATGGTCTGAATACATTAGTGCATTTTTTATTGAATTTGCCGGCAGTTGGATCACACAGAAAGTAATGCTTATTTTACATCTCTTGTAGAGCCAACTAAACTTTATCAGCAATTTATCTTATTTATGGAATTCATTTTTATCAGTATAAACTACAAATTGTTCCCTTAGATATCCTTTTACAATAATACTTATTTATTACATAATGCTTAAAATGTTTCACACTTGTACATGATAGACATAGATTAAATAAAGTAAAATGTAGGGGTATTACTGAAATATTTGTTTAGCCTATTATTAATTTACATTGCACAGAGAAATTATGCAGGGATGTGATTTAATTCTATTGTCAGAGCATAGTTTGTTCTTGGTGGTGCTTCTGTATTTCAAACTGAAGAAAGAATTATTTAATGGATTGTTGAAGCCTAAATTGGAATTTATCCAGGAATCCAGTTAACATTCCAACTCAACCAAATGGTTGTGGGATCCCAAATGACAAGGTCACCTCCTGTAGTAGTGACACTTTGCCAGCATATTGGCTCAAGCATTCTAGTCCAGAGGGACAAATGCCACCTACTAACATCACTTTTAGCTACAATCAAGTTTTCCTTTGAGGTCTCCAACCCAGTATTGACAAGAACTTTCTTTGCTTAAGTTCTGAGTTCTGATGAGAACAGGCTACAAGATGGTAGTAAACAAAAACAGGTCTTCAGCCCTGATTCTAGAAACCCATAGGGTGTTTATGTTTTCATTTAAAATTAATGTGTGTCTACTTAAATGAAATGATTACTGTCTCAGTTATGATTTATGCAATTCTTAGGAACTGCATGAAAAAAGGTAGTACCTTATCTCTCTAGGACCCTTGGCTCAAGGTCATATAATGAAGTACTAAATGGTTTATACTGTATACTGTAGCTGTAGCAGCTTTCCAATATATTTCATGGTACAGACAAATCAGTGTAAAAGACTAGATTTCACACATTGTGAATGGCATGGTAAACCAATACCTCCCATGGCACATTCTGACTCATTGGCACTATACAACACGTGAAACCATAGGAGAAATATCCAAGACTTTCAGTTCAACCCTTAATATTACTGCACAGTCCTGATTATAAATTCTGAAATGGCACTGAACAAGTTAACTGGCATTCATAAAAGCAACAGGATAGAAGCACATTAATAATCTATCTGAATTTAAATGTTAATCTTAGCCTTAGGAATTTTAGAAACATATGCCATATTTAATGAAATGATAATAGGCCTAGGACAAAAAATGTCTGATTTATAAAACTTGGCTCTAACAAGCTTATCTTTTTATTTTTTATTTTTTTTGTAATTGAAGTATCTGCTGCATAAAGACAAAATTTAATTTTAATTAATGCAGGTTATATATATATTGTGATGTTGCCTGAGACAGGGTTTATAAGGGTGATTGCTTCTCCCCAAGCTCTGTCCCAAGGGGAGGGAGTGTAATGCCGCCCAGGGCAGCATCACTGAGGGGCAGTGCTTCTCTCCAGGTGTGTGTCTTTAAGAGACAGCAGTTTTACAGAGTCAGGAATTAATGAACTACAGCACCGGGCAGCATTACTTATACGGTCTGGCCGCCTGTTTCTATTCCAGTGCAGTCTGTTTCCAGTGCAGGACAGAGAAGTAAGGAAGAATGTTACTGCTAAGCAGTATGTTGTGAGGCCACATTGTTAGCAGTTTTTCCATTACATGTGGGGTACTGCAGTAGATCTGGCCTACCCAGTGATATTGAGGTGCTGGCATGTTTGTCTGGACTGCTGCTGGCTTTGTGTCCTGATGCTACAAGTCTGACAGTGAAGGGCTAGGGACAGAGGCAGTGACAAGCCTTAATGAGCAAGAGATGCTGTAAGACCTTGAGCATGACCTCGAAGAAGGTCAGGGAAGCTAGGATCGAGGTGTGAAAAAATATAGGAGTTATACGGTGCCGTCAAATGTGGTGTAACTTGATGTACAGATCTCTAAACATCTCTAAGCGAAGGGCTCAGAGATGTTCAGTTAAGTTATTGCTCAAACAGAGCAAGAGAGGAAAAAAACATTCACAGGTAAGACCTGGAGTGATGAGGGGACAAATAATATTCTCAGAGAAAAGTATACCGTACTGAATGTAGATGTAAAAATGTAACCTCGTAGTCTGTGTTGGGTCTTTTAGCATTGACCTGCCTGGATCAGTGTGGATAGAATGAGCCACACCAAAAGGAATAACAATATATTGTGATAATTTGGCTGGATACAGCCTCACAGGTTGTAATTTTTCAGAATCCAAGCACAAGAGACCAGAGAGTGAAAGTGAAAAGTGATTATGAGAATTAATCAGACCAAACTTGCCAGTAATGGGGGAAACCACCCTTCCCGGAATAGGTTAACTGCATCCCTGACGAAAAGAAACGCTGCTGAATATAGCCCGTAGGAGGGAGTCTCAAGTATGAAAAGTATGAAGCCTAAATTGCGAGATGCCTAAAAAGGAACCAAAGGGTTTAGAAAGCAGCCCTCAAAAGCCACGGGTACAGACCAGCAAACACAAGGGTTGAGGAGGTAAGCAGTGAAAAGAAAAAGTAGAAAAAGGTTCTGACTAGAATAGGGGCACAGGCTAGAAGCTTAAAGCCAAACGGAATCCGTCGGTTAGAAAAAAGGGAGTATAGTGTGATATGTCCATTATGAGTATAAGGAATTAGAACTTCCAAAATGGACACAACGGCTTTAAATTCTTAGGAGGTTTTACTTGTATTGATGACACTGGAGTTATTGATCAACTCCATGCTGTTTGTTGATTGAGGATTAACTAAATCATGGGTTTTAATGGAGATGTAGTAGGTCTCAAACAGCAGGAGCAATGGAAATATTGGCTTTGAGGATGATTAAAAAGCCTCTTAATATCTCCTTCTCTGCCATTTGAATGTGCAATATAATAGTACTTTTCACATAAATAAATCTACACCAACTGACTAAAGTTAGCTATGGTGGCTCTGACCATTTGAGAGTCAGGAAGCTGTGCTAAGAAAAATTCTCTGAATAGACTCTCCAAGCCCTGGTTTGATTGCTCAAGCAAGGATGTTAGACTGATGGTTTTATTGAGAATATCAACCTTTGCAAGAACAAGGCCTGGATGAGGCCAAAAAGACAGATAGATCCTACCATCTGGGCAAGTTGAAAGAACTTATTCCTTAGATTATTCATCAAACTTGCGTCGATCTTCCAAATCACCTTTAGTCTGCTATGTACTTAACTTCTTCAATAAAAGAATCATATTCACTTTCATGGCATTAACTACCAGCTCTCCTACTAGCAAGAACTTTGTATATTTAGACTTTAGCAGCAATCTTTTTCCTACAGGATATGTTTCCTTATTGTCATTAAAAATAAAATCAGTGGTTTATTATTATTGAGGGCCCAGAATATACAATACCACAGCTGAAAAATGAGACAAAATGAGAAAGTTGAAGTGATGCCTTTAGGTCTTACCTCATGGTGTACAGCAGGGTTCCATTGTCTACCAGTCTTAGGAGTTTATTAGGAGTGGTCATGTTATGGGCGACAGATTTCTTTCCATTGTGGAAAAATGTATCAGGTGTCCAGATTTTGCTGGCCAGGAGGTTATTCAGTGCTAGAACCTGCATGGGACCTTGAAACTTAAGACGCTCATCTCTCCAACTCTGACGGAAGAAGACATCAACTGTGTATTCCTGGAAAGAAGAAAAGGATTTTCTTTAGGCTTTTTAGGATTTTGATTAAATAAAAAGAAAAATATTGATATTAAATGGGATTAAAAGTTTTGTATTTGTCAACATCTACAGCACTCCGAAAATGTTTAAAGGCTTGTTTTCCTCTTTTTGAGGATTTATTGCAAAGCTTATTTTATTTTTGTATCAATGCAAAATTGTCATTGGTTTTGTCCTGTTTGTGAGTAATAAAAACATCTGAAATGTGTTTATTTGTATTCCTATTGCTAGTTCTGTAATATACATCTTTGTTTCAGAATTCAATTTTTCACCATACGCCTAAAAAATGAAAATACAGAGCAAGAGCAAGTCAATAGTCTTAAATCGACTTGTTTCTTCACTCCATTATCTGTTTTTTTCATTGTAATTTGTAATGTTTCTTCTTTAAGGAGTCATGGCAACATTACTTATTGCTATTTTATCTGAATACTTTTAAACAAATTGCTCCTCTGTTAAAGCCAGATCATGGTATCTGAACACTTCATCATACAGTATGTTATTACTTAATAATCGGTAGGAAATAATGTAAGGTTCTCCTCAATCAAATAGTTATCACTTTCAACATCAGGGTAGAGCTCCCTTATAACAGTCCCGGACCATTAAGAGCAGTTGGGAAATCATAATTTAAAATGTAATATTGTGAATATTTTTGAGGCTGTTGAGGTTTTAGTGCATCATGTAAAACCAGAAAGTTGAAGTTCTGTGACTAAAATAAAAAATAAGAAATAACAAAGAAATCAAGAGGAGAGAGGAAGAATGAATCAGAGACTATTAAACAGAAAAATAAAGAAGAATCTTAATGAATTGGAAGACTGCAAGTGTTCTTTTTCATTAAGTGCCTTGTTCTGCAATATCTGCCAATGATTTTGTAGAGGAAGATGTAGACACTGTTCTCCGTTGAGGAGAGTGGTGACAAATTCATGGACCATTTTCTTCTTTTTTAATACCACAGGTGATGAATTGTACTGATAACGGAAGACACACAAACTGGCCATTAACAGAATAAGAGCACCCAAGAATTGAAAGATTGAAAGATTTACAGTATAAAATGTGGAAGTTACTATAAATTTAGCTTAACTCGCTTGGCTGGCCATAGGACAAGGGGGACAGGACCCCATGAGAAATGAGGAGTGACTAAGGGGCAGCTGCAGAGATTTACAGTAGATGGGGCAGAGGAGGGACGCAAAAGGCATTTAGCAAGGTATAGAAGAGGAGTATGTATAGTACTTATAGTTTTCTAAGTGAGGAAATGACATCAGGAATGATTACAAATTGCTCATAGCTGAGGTTGATTGAAGCCTTTGACATTCCTTTTATTATAAACTCCAGTTGAAAAAGGTCAAATGTTTTTTCTTGTTTAAAAGGTCAAAAAAGAACTGGTAACTCTCTCATTTAAACAAACAACAGCAGATTTAAAGCACAATAAACATGTTTGCCAAAAACCATAGTTCGCTGTTATGCCAAAGACAAGCACATCCAAAGCATTTAATGCTAGGGCTTTTGAGCAACAAATGCATCTATCCTTTGCAGCTGAGAGAGGCTTAAGTTATTTGTCATGCCTCCAGAAAAGGCTTCAGGCCCTTGTTTATTGTAAGTTCAATACAATTATATGCTTAGTTCAATGAAATTCAAGGAGTACTTGATGCAAAGAAAAATATTTCAGAGCTTTTTGTGTGGTGTGGTATATGGAGCATTATTTTAATTTTTTTTCCATTATTTTTCCATTATCCACATAGATGTTTTTCTCAATCTCAAACATTTTCATCACATATTTATAACTTCTCTTTACTCAAATTAAAGCATACTATTTTTTGCAAATAACTAAGTAATCTAAAAAATGCCTAAAGAATGATTTTATTAATTTGAGAAAAAAGAACTCAAACCACAAGCAGCTGCGTTGTAGGATATGAGGAAACATGGCTGCCTTACCAAAATACTGAGTGGCGCCTTGTAGGAATTCATCATTATCAAATAACAGTAAATTCAGATTGCCTATAGTTCTCATTTAAGTTAGTCTATTCAGATTAATATCTGAAAGCCAGCAGTACCCTAGTAGTGGTAGAAAATAATTTCCAGCCATCTTCTAATTTCTTCCTCCAATTCAGAGTCGGATGAGGGAAAATGAGGCTATACTGGCAAGCAATGGGTGCAAGACAGAATACGAAAACATGAACATGGGGAGAGCATACAAACTGCAGGTAGATAGCACCAAAGCAACAATGCTAACCACTGTGCCATCATGTCACCTATTCAAATATTTTTCAAAGAAAATAATTTTACACTGGAGGGATGAACTGCATAATTTAAAAAAAAATCTGTTTGTCAGAATACTTTAATGTTTCTGTTGGGTCTTTGATACATGATGCAGTTTGTGATAGACTGCATGCTACATGTTGCTGTAGACCAAGATACAGATAGTTTAAAATAACACTGCTTTGAAATGATGTCACCGTGATATGACTTGCAAACTAATATTTTGCTCATTTTAGCTAAATGTGCATATCCAGCAGCATTCTATGGTACCTTTTGTGGAGGGTTTACATTAGGGATGTGTAAGTTATAGGAATAGATTTCCCTATAAAATTAGCATTATAATTAATGTTCAAAATTGTTTTGAGACATATATTTTGGTCTCCTCTTTCAATTTGACATGGTCCTCACTTTCTGATAAGTTTAACATTAGCCATAACACTTACCAGAACCCACCATATTAAACCACTCACTGTATTACCATGCAACACCTCCATATCACTTCATTTAAACATTTGGCATACAGTGATACAAAAGATTCTCTTTCAAAATCTCATTGTTATTCTAACCCTATCCTCAGATGGACCACCACTGTAACCCCAATGCCTTCTGACATTATCTTTAATCACTGCCTGGGTGATGCACAGCAGCAATCTCACTGTATAGCAAGAAGTAGAAGTGAGAAACTGCTTCAGCAATTGAAGGTAGAACATTAGATAGGGCATATTGTGCAAGCCTAGTGTAAATTTAGCTTGGACACATACAGGAGGCTAACACCTCTTTTATCATTGACCCTGTAGCAGCAAGGCCTATTATTATCCTCAGAATTACAGTAAGTGTTATTAAAGACTTCTAATAATCTTTGTTTTACCTTGACAAACCATCTTGGGTTTCTCTCTGTAAATGCAATGAGATGTGGCTAATAATCCCCTCTGATAAGTGATGTTGTAAAACTATAACCAATGCTGAACCATGTATTAATGTAGACTGTATTGTGGGTACCAGGACTCTCTAACTAAACTAGCAATATGACTTTTCTGAAAACATTACTGATTGAGTCAGTAAAGTACAGAACTCTGCCCAAGATATTCTTTCTGAAACAGAAGAAATCTTGTGTTTGTGAACCCACTGTTATTTGCACCTGATCAATTAAATAAGCATACTGTATATACTTTTATGTCAACATTTTAAATATTTAAGTATATTGAGCACCAAACAATAGTTGTGACACACCGAGTTCTCCCACCTGACTACCTTGTGGCCGGACCGAAGAAGACAGATTGCTTTTAAAAAATTAATTTTAGCCATGCTAACATCTGACAAAGCTGCTCCCAATCAATGTTAGGCAAAGTCCTCTCTGCACCTGGGACACTCCCTCCACACTCAGTAGCTGCCAACCCAGCCCAGCTCCCTCTTCTCGGTGGGAAATTTAAACTAATTAAAGATGTTTGACCAATGGATCTTTGAATATAAAGCTTCATAATAATTCTTACCCCTATATACTGTGGTACTTTTCTGGACAAGGCACTCAAAGTGATTTACAGTAATGGGGAATTCCCTCTACCACCACCAATGTGTTGCCTCCACCTGGATGACGTGATGGCTGCCAGAATTGCACCAGTACGCTCACATCACATCAGCGATCAGTGGGGAGGGGAAAAGAAGCCATTTCATAGATGGGGATTATAAGGAAGCCATGATTAGTAAAGGCTGGATAGAAATTTGTCCAGGACACCAGGGTCAACACCCTGACTCTTTGAGAAATGCCCTGGGAATTTACATGCCTTCAGTTTTATGTTTAAACCAAAGGAAAGTGTCTTTTTGCAGTACAGTGTCACTATACTGGGACATTAGGACACACACAGACCACAGGGTGAGCACTACCTCCTGGTCCCACTAGCACCTCTTCTAAAAGTAACCTTCACTTTCTAGGAGGTCTCCTATTCAGATACTGGCCAGGCTCATACCTGCTTAGCTTCAGTTGGTTGGCAGCCATGAGTTGCAGGGTGATATAGTTGCTGACTTCTTAAAGCTTCTTTTTAAGATAATTCTTGATAGTTTAACTATTATTCCAAAAGCGTGTTTGATGAACACATGATAGTGTGTTATCCATGTTTTTGGTGTTATATCAATAAATTGTATATTTTATATTTGGATCAGTGTGTGAGAGTGCAAACTATTATATTTGATTGATTCCTAAAAGTTGTAATTCACCATCATAATTTCTGATTGTTACAGTAAATTAAAACCCTTACATTATTATAGCTCCCACAAACTTTCTTCTTCAACAATAATTAAGAAACAAATAAGGAACCAGAAATTTTAATCAGTATAATCAAACACTGCTTGTGCTCTATTGTCCCAGGCTAGGTTGAAGGGCACAAGTGAGGATACTACACACCACAGTTAATAAGAGTGACTAAATTATCACTAATTCATTGTGGGATTTACTTTAATGATCTTAAACTAAAGTCTGCAGTTTTAAATCCATATTGAACTCACTGATGTGTGTCTCCATAGGGAAATAATTGATCCCTCATCAGCACTATTAAAGAAAAGCAGTACCATTTTGTGTATGAGGCCCGAGGAGTTTTTAACAGTGTATTTACTAAGGTTTGTGGTATAGAAGGAATTGAAATAGGTTTTTTTATAAGACATTCCCTTGTAGGGAGTCTTGTTTATGGCCTAATCCTGTTCATTGATTAAAGAATTTT